TCAATGGTAAAGAACTAACCTGCGTCGTTTGCACAAAATAGTTCAACTGGCTGAAGAATATTAGATCTCTACCTAAAATTTGAGGGCAATACTGTTCATCCTTATAACCGCATATTTAGACCCAAACTTAGGCATGTAATCGCAAAAGTTTATTAATAAAATTTTGTTGGGTTTGATCAAAAACACGATCTTCAGATGTAAATATTTATTTTACACCTGACTTAACACGCAAACGACACGGTATCTATTTGAATAAAATAACCATGCATTTGGGATTATATCATTTGATGTAATATAAAATTTAAAAGCTAGAATTGTTAGCTGTTATCGATCTTAATTTAATAGCACGAGTTCTCAGAAGAAGTGCGAGCCCAACGAAGAACATAGTCGACAGACCAAGAATAAGGGGGTGTCCATCCCAACTCAGTAAACTACAACACGTTCCGCCGCCAGGAAAGTTAGATTCGACAGATGGTCACCAAAGATATTAAGATATATAGTTATACTATATATTATGGCAGTTGCAGGGATAAAATATAATCGAGCGTACCCTTCCGGACAAGTCATCTTTACCAGTTGTTTTGATCTAGAGTGGCGCCGCCAAGGTGGTCGTCCTCTCCCCCCCTCCCCTCCAATGTTTTACATAGTGTAGTTTCAGATTCGTTCAAATCCAATAAAAAATTGGGGACGGGGTGGAAAATGATCGGCAGGCAGCGAATTAAATTCTCAACTGAGTATTCTTGCTGACACCGAATTAAATTCTCAACTGAGTATTCTGAAATCAATATTTGACACTGGTGAAAGTTGATCTATTAAGACCTTTATATTTCTAAATGCCTCCACAATGCGGGAAATGCGGAACCCCCAAAGTATTTTTTCCTGGGGAGCATACCGCCGGACCCCACTAAAGCCGTGTTTACACTACGTGGCTCAGCCTGGCCTGGGCATTGGACAAGATTTTTGTAGTGGAAACGCTCTTCGGCTTGGCCTAGGCCAGGAAATCTGGGCCAATTAGAACAGGTGGCCCAGACTTCCTGGCCTAGGCCAGGCCGAAGTGCGTTTATAGAACATAAATCTAGTCCGAAGCTAAGCCAAGCTTAGGCTCGTAGTGTAAACACGGCTTAAGATCCCAAACTAAAATCCTTGCCGTGCCACGTGTATAGTGTATAAAACACGCACAAAATCGTTCATTTAGTATCGCTCTGCTTTTCTAAACAACGCGCCATGCAACTAGAACTACCCAGTACTCATAATACCCCCAAGCATCAGTGTTCCCAGTGTTCTTGCCGCTACTACTTTAGCCTGCTCGCAGACGTTGTTATTCTTACGCCAAGCGACGAAAAACTAACTACTGTAAAGGCTGCATTCCAGTTACGCGTTTTTCATACGTGCGTACACGCACGTAAAAGTTGAATTCGCTTTACATCCTACTTATGAAATAACTAAATTTATAAAAGGACAGCATTCAGTTTTGTGTATGATTTAATGTGTATTTGTTAAGGTTATTTGCACTTATATGAAATTTTAAGCGAATTCAACTTTTACGTACGTGTACGCACATATGAAAAACGCGTAACTGGAATGCAGCCTTAAGTTAGTTTTTCGTCGCTTGGCGTAAGAATAACAACGTCTGCAAGCAGGCTACTACTGCTTACGTCACAGGACAGTATATAACGTGGTTTAGAATAATATTCATATTATGCACAGACCAAGGGACTCTATTCAAAGCTATTAAAGGAAAGGAATGCTGGTTGAAAAAAATGCAATAAGTTTCCCCGGACGTAATGAAACAGCTCTCGTTAACGAACTTGGCAAATATTTTGTTTAGAAAATCTCTAATATCCACTCTAAGATAAACAAGTAACGAGATTTATTCAAATAATGATGGTCACGTAGATCCTCCAAGTGATGACAACGAGGAGTCTCCGGGTGATGTATCGCATTTTGATGCGTTTGAGCTCTTGTCTGAGGATGATGTTAGAAAGCTTGTTGTGGACTCACACAAAAAATCCTGTTACCTTGATCCAGTGCCAACTGATTTCTTGGTGAAATGTCTGGATGTGTTACTTCCTGTGATTACAAAAATAATCAATATTTCACTTGAAACTGGGTACTTTCCTAGAGACTGGAAGGAAGATATCATTCTTCCCATATGAAAAAAGTCTGGGTTGGAGTCCGATTTTGAAAATCTTCGTCCCATCAGTAATTTAGCATATATTTCAAAGCTTATTGAACGAGCAGTATATAATCAAATGCACGATCATATTCTTCGATGTGGCTTTTATCCAGTTTTGCAATCTGCTTACCGGCGGTATCACTCCACAGAGACGGCGTTACTCAAAGTACTCAATGATATTGTGTTAAGCATGAACAGTCAACGTGTCACTCTCTTGGTTCTTCTGGACCTAAGTTCCGCTTTTGACACAATTGATCATGGAATTTTGCTGGAACGGTTAAGGTCAAAATTTGGAATACGTGGAAAAGTTCTAAGTTGGTTTTCTTCCTATTTAATTGTCTTGTCGAAGTCAATGTGTTATGCTAAATGGTACCCTTTCTGATTCATCTGATTTGAACTTTGGTGTCCCGCAGGGTTTGTGTTTGGGGCCTCTTCAGTTTTTACATTATATGCCTCCAAACTGTTCGATATTATTAACAATCACTCGCCAGATTCACATGGTTTTGCTGATGGCACTCATGCAGTTGTATGTGTCATTCAAACCTAACTACCCATGCGATCAATGTGAAGCGATCTCGGTAATGGAAAGCTGTGTCAACGATCTTCGGAAGTGGATGATTCAAGATAAATTGAAACTAAATGACGGTAAAACTGAACTGCTAATAATTGGATCTAAGCAGCAACTGCAGAAACTTAACCCATGCCATATACGTGTCGGGAATGCTGATGTCCTTCCTGTACCAATAGCTCGTGATCTAGGAGTTTGGCTTGATTCAAATTTATCAATGTCATGTCATATAACAAAGACATTTGGTGCCGCATTCTATTGGCTTCACAACATCAAACGCATCAGCAAGTTTTTATCTCGGGAAAATCTGTTGACTGTTATACATGACTTTGTTACAAGTCGACTAGATTATTGTAATGGTCTCCTGTATGATTTACCTAATACTGAATTGATTAAGTTGCAGAGGGTTCAGAACGCCGCTGCAAGATTAGTGACTTCAACACGAAAATACGATCACATTACACCTATATTACGTGAACTACACTAGTTACCTGTGAAGTTCAGGATCCATTTTAAACTGCTATTGCTTACTTTTAAAGCTTTACATGGAATGGCTCCAAAGTACATGGTAGATCTGTTTGTTGTCAAAGTGGAAGAATTCCGAAGGAAACTACCTTTTACGCTCTAATGATAGCATAATGCTAGAGTTCCCTAAGGGTAATTTTTTACGGTCATTCGGCGACCGATCTTTCACTGTGGCAGCTCCGAAACTTTGCAATGAACTTCCGAAAGAAATTCGTGACATTTCGTCAATAAGCGTTTTTAAAACTTGTCTTAAGACTCATCTTTTTAAACTAGCTTTTAGTCTTTAGTTTATATTAAAGTTAACATTTCAACATTTTATTACGCTTTTAAGTGATGCTTACCATATTGAACATTAGTTATATTGTAATACAGCGCTTTTGATCGTTATATGTAAAAAGCGCTTTATAAATTATTAAATTATTATTATTATTACAGTCTCGTCCAATATTTTTCCATCTTGAAGAGTTCCATCTTGAAACTAAGTACATGGGCGTACCGGAGGGAAAAAATTAGGGGGGCGGAAAGAAAATTGCCCGACTTTTCGGATTCTGCCCGACTAGTACCAAAAAATTTTTTCCGGAAAAATTATTTTGGCGACCCCCCCCCCGTCGCCAAAAAAATTTCGGTCAGCGTACCATTTTAGGGGTCAAAAAAATTTTCCGGACAACCAATATTTTTCGGAACATAACACAAATTTTCGGAAAATCGAAAAATTTGCGAAAAAATTGACTTACTTTTAGACAAAATTGACTGAATTTGTCCCATTTTTTTTTATTGCACACCAAAATTGCCCGACTGTTGATGGAATATTGCCCGACTGCCCAAAAAACTGGGGGGATACCGCCCCCCCCCCGCCACCCCCCCGCCCGGTACGCCTATGACTAAGTATTTGAGAAATTAGGAAAGCAAGAGAAGGCTAGATTTCAGCCGGGTAATATTTTGAATTTATCACAATTAATCATCAGACTCTGACGAATCGAAACCGAACATAAATTTGTCCATTTGTTTTTACATGGAAATTCGTATAGTTAATTGTTAACGAATTTCTGATCAAATTTCATTCGCCACGTGTTAAGGGGTAATCGTGTAAATTCGAATACCTGTTCAAATGGCAAGCCGGAATAAAACCTTTATTAATGTGTCTAGCTTGAATAGTAGTATTATATAGACAACGCAACATATACTTCCCACAATGCTTCCTAAAGGAAATAGCAATAATGTTCGGCTTCTTACTAGTCTTATGAGGAAGTTACATTAATATTTAAATCTGCTTCCAATTAATCGTTTGATCGACTAATCGATGAATTTTTCGTTTTTTTCCGCATTCGATTATATACCTATAACAATAATCGATAGATAGATAGATTTTCATCAGAATAATTGGATCATCTATAACAATCTTGTACAGTATGATAGATTCATCAGTATTTCTTCAGATAACTTTGATGCTGATTTAAGCGTTTAAGATATTTAGAAGCTATAACATGTTGAGTCATTTAATTGATCTATATACAGCTTTTAAAAATTTTTTTCATAAACGATTTTTTAAACTCTGGAAAATTGAAAAATCGCGCTGCTTTGCCGAATCGGATTCGGTGTGTCTGGGCCTTTACAGTATGATTTAGAAGTGTGAAAAGTAATCTAAACATTAACATCGGCATTGGCCTCTCAGTTGTCTACTTGTGTGAATTACTCTGCGTGAGTGGGAACTGAAGTGCGCAATCTACTGAAACTGGAGTAAACAATAATTCCAAACGTAAATATCGACTGCAAATACAAATACTGTTAGATCACAAGACAGGCACATCTCAAATTTTAAAATTAACCAATAAATAAACCGGTGGGAGCAGGTCTGTTAATAGACTACAAGTGTATTCCAGGGGGTGGATGATGTATTAACTATGGTCGACTGCAGTTTCGTAATATGTATATTTAAATAATTGACGAGAAACCGTGCCAACCCCAATCCAATATTATTACTACATTTAATTAAAATTATTCAAATATCTAAATATCTAAAAAACGTTCGATAAAAAACTGATTTACCAACCTCGTCCGAATGATGTCAATGATCTTGAACAAAATTCAAATACCTGAAAAATTTTCAATAAAAGACAATTTATTATAATACACCGACAGTTCATTGATTGCATCCTACAGGTGTTCCCCTGATTATAAATTATAGGTCACCCATTCTGAAATTCATCTTCAGTCTTCTTCATTTGTTTAGACTTCTAGTGGGGTGCTCCATTGATGTTATCGTGTCTTGCAATCTGGACGAAAACAACTGGACTATACAATCTCGAAAAGACATTTCTCATAATGACGTTGAACGCTGATATTTAAAGCACTTCGGCTCCCGCTTTCCTCGTTTATTATTAGGGGCTGACCATTAGAAAAGTGATGGGGGGGGGGGCAAAAGCAAAAATCGAACAGGGGAAACGGAAAACAAAAATACGTGCACCAGAAAAGTTTGAAAGAAAAAATTCACCACCCCCCATCACTTTTCTAATGGTCCGTCCCCTTAGCATAGCATGACAAAATTACTGAATGCTGACTGCAGTACAATTAATGTTTTTCCCAAAACAAACAAAATGGCGAAAATACAAATGTGAAATGAAATTGCTCTAGAGGAAATAGATGAAAATACGAACAAAAGCACCAAATGTTGCTTTAACAAAAGAACTAAATGAAAATACGAACAAAAGCAACACATTTTGGTTGATAGTCTGGCAGGACCGGGCTTTGGTGAGAGAATATGATGTTGACATCCAATTGAGAAGTATCCAATTTTGTCATGCTAATAATAAACAAGTAATCATACGATGTTGCTTGTACAATTAGGGATTAATAGTACTCGTGATGTTTGGAAATTTGCCAACTTGGACTCGCCCCGGCGGCTCGTCCAATTTTGGCAAAATTTCTAAACATCACTCGTACTATTAATGCCTAATTGTACTGGCCATCGCATGATTACCAGTAGTATAGTATGTGGTTTTCGGGCCGGATTTTTGCGGTGGTGGTGGTGGTGGAGTGTGGTGGTGGTGGTGGCGTGGAGCGGCGCATCATTATATATGCAGGTAATTACTATGCAAGGGGGCGGCGCATCATTATATATGCAGGTAATTACTATGCAAGGGGGCGGCGCATCATTATATATGCAGGTAATTAAGGGGGCCGCACAAGTGAGGGTGCGTAGTGACGTCACGCGGGCCTGTCCGGGCGAAATTGGACAAAATTTGCTGACTACGCATTTTTTAGCGTCCCCCCGCGTGTGTGGTACAATTGAGGGATTAATGTTGGCTTACTATGAACTTTTATACAAGTATCTGTATAAAATCGACAAGCGTCTTGTAATAGGCATAGTTCTGCATTTGTTCCACATCAGTCATGGCGTGTCTACACGGCAAAACCACATCTTACAATTTATTGGAAGGAATTTTTGCGAATGCAGTCGCACAAGAAGTTGAAAGACTTTGTGTGGAATCCTGTAATGGTTGTCAAGTCGGTCATCCTAGTCAAAGACAACATGACTGCCTCATGATGAACGAAAACGAACGATGGCAAATGTATGGTTTACAAGCGATCGAACGCGTGAATGGTAAGCGTATGGTTTGGAACGAATTCGCTGAGGCAATGAGGGTACTAAAACTGGCGGTTGACAGAGATGTACTCGAACATTTACAGCAACTGGAAAAAGACCCAGATTCTACGTTTGTCGATTCATTGATGGAACTACATCAGAACACTGAGAACCACGAACTACAATGTATACTGAACTATTTGTTTCATTGGAGATTAGAAGACCCGCTCGAGTCAACAGCTGAAGCGTTTTTTTCGT